TGGAAACCCAAAGAGTGTTAAGGAGTCAAGTATAAAATCCCACCCAATAGAGTTGAATGCTTTCATTAGATCGATCTTGATAGCTGTTGGCACCAAAACTTGGCAGCCACTTCAGCAGCGATGTGGACCAATGGGAAGCCGGTAAGTGTTGAGCATGTCCAAGAATGGTCGGCCAATGGAGAAATAGTAGGAGAAGATTTAGGAGGATATCTATATATTCAGCCACCTCACCAAAAGGGTTGTTACTAAACAACCGAGACTTGTGTTAATTTCAAAAGGAAATTTCATTAGAAATAGAACATTGGGAGAGGTTGGCTAAGGTGACATAATTAAGTTCCTAAAAAATAGGGATTTAGTTATGAGAAAGGAAATTGAATCCTTATGGAAATGAAATTCAAAAAGAAGGGGCAGCCACGTGAGTGTATGGGTCAAGGCTATAAATGGCTTTCCAGCCATTTAAGGGAAATATTTCAGTCAAGCTTGAAGAAAGAAGTTGCTAAAAATCAGCAACTTACTAGCAATCTTCCAGTAGCTTTCTACCAACTTCTTAGCAATCAATATTTTCTTCAACAAAGGTATTCTATTTGAAGCAAGACGAAACAAGAGGAGAAGAGACGTGAAAGACTACTGGAATACGACCTATTTTCAGCAACAAAGTAAAGCAAATCAAGGAAAAGAGAGATTTCAGTAAAGACTTTCCCATTGAAACTGGAGCATCGATATTGAAGGCGAGGAATGTTGAGTCGTAGCTCAGTTTGAATTTCAAAAGAAAATGATTGAAGCAAAAGAGATTTTCTAGCAATTAATTAGGAAAATAAGTTGAGATAGAACTTCTATAAATAGAAGTATTGTACTCCATTTCCAATTCGTCCAGCACCACCACAAAACATGCATTTCAACTAAAAATGTTTTCAATTGACTCTACGTCATTTTTCCTATCAATTTCTTTATTTTAATTTAATGGCAATTGATTAGATCATTGTCAACTATTTCGATTCAGGCATTTACTTTCTTTCAATTTCAATTATGCCAATTTTAATTACGCAATTTTAGTTAGGCTTTCAATTCAATGGCAATTGATTAAATTCTTGCCATTGAATCGTAGTGACAATTGATTAAATTCTTGTCATTACTTGGCTGATGGCAATTGATTAAATTCTTGCTATCACGTTTCAGTGGCGATCGATTAAATTCTTGCTATTGTGTTTGGCTGATGGCGATTGATTAAGTTCTCGCCATCACGTTCGGCCGGCGATCGATTAAGTTCTTGCCGCCTGTCTTCACTCGGCCATTCCATCCATTCAAACATTCATCAGCCGTTACATTTCTTTAGACACTCTAAAAAGTTCTTGCTACAAACAAGGCATAAAAGAACCTTACTGGGAGTTCTTACTAGTCTCTCTCCCACACAATCGCCTGAGAGTCAGCCATCGGGAAAAAGGGATAGGCTGGTGTTCAATTACATATTTTGGGTATTTTGTACAAATACTCTGGCACGCCCGCGAAGAGTCCATCGACCGGCGTAGGGAACAAAAACCGCGCAAACACGTTTTGGCACGCCCGGTGGGACCACTACTAGAGTGTTATAAAAGAGGCAAATATGCCGCGGCCCACAAAAAATTCTAAGGCAGTGGCTACTGATGAAGATTTGGAGGAAGGCGATCAGCCAGTACAGGCTGAGAACTCGGCAGCAGGTCCTACTGATGAGTTAGCCGTACTTCAAGCACAGGTTAGCTCCTTCGTAAATGCAATGGGAAGGATGGGAGCACGCTACAATGACTTGCATGAAAATATGTCCCAACTCTCAGCCTTTATTTTGAACAAGCCGACTCAAGCTAGCAGCTCCAACAATTAGGAATCGGCTTCTCAGCCGAATCTATCACAAGCTGCTCGGCCAGCGAGGGCCATTGAAACATCACAGCCATGGCCGCCAGTAGTGACACTCCAACCAGGTGCAACATCAAGTCAGCCGGTTCATATGCTACTCACCTGGGCAGAAAGCTATCCTCAGCCTACGTTGGCAGGTTCTAATCAGCCACCAGTAGTAGGTTCACAGCCACAGGTAATTCTACCAAACCCTCCTCGGATGCCTTTGAACTCGGGGGGCAATCAGATCAGGTGGAGGCCACCGAACCCACTGTATACTCATGTGCCACCACAGGTAGGGCTCGGGGTGCAGAATATGGCTAATCAGCCACATGATTGGCCGAATTGCTATCAACCAGCGGCTAATCAGCCGCCAGTTTTTAATCAGGTACCACTAATATTAAATTAGCCACCTCAAGTCATGTTAGATAGAAGACAATTAGCTGATTTACTCACAGAAGAATATGGCCTGGAACTTAGAGGTGCCGGTCGACCAATTTATAGAACTCCTTATCCAGAAGTGGTAGACCAAGTTGAGTTCCCTAGAAGATATAAAGTCCCTGACTTTGTAACCTTTAGCAGAGAGGGGAATCAATCGACCGTGGAACACATTGGCCGATTCACGGTTCAATGTGGAGAGGCCAGTGTTAGCCCGTGGTTGAAATTGAGACTTTTTCCTAACTCTTTGACAGGGGCAGCCTTTTCATGGTATATTCGTCTACCTCCTAACTCTGTTTTTAATTGGCCACAGATGGAGGAATTATTCCACAATCAGTTCTACCGTACGGAGACAGAACCTACTCTGGCCGATTTATCAAGGCTAAGTCAATTGCCTAGTGAATCGGTCGAGACATTCATTGCAAGATTCAGGAGAGCAAGATTAAGATGTCGTGTACCTCTTCTAGAACAGGAGTACATTTGTTTGGCTTTGAACGGCCTTAATTTTGAACTTCGGAAGAGGTTTGAAGGAGTTCCATTTTGTGACATGTATGACCTGGCCGAGAAAGCTACCAGGTATGAGTTGGTTCTCAAAGAGGAGAAAGAACGAAAAAATTCCTCTAAAGGTACGTACTATAGGGACCCCAACTATGAAGTTTATTCAACTGATGTGGTTGAAGAGGAAGATTTTGAAGCTAATTTAGCCGAAGTCATTCTAAAGAAACCTTATGTATGTGACGTTTTAACAAAACCAAATGTATCCACTAGTGGTACTCAGCCATCGACTTCATCGGCCAGGAAGGGTACGGCTGATACTGGTAAGGTTTATACATTTGATCTGGCCAAAACAGAACAAATTTTTGATCATTTGTTGGCCGACAAACAAATCGTTTTGCCAAAAGGACACAATATACCATCGACCAATGATTTAAAAGGAAGAGAGTTCTGCAAATTTCATAATTCATGGAATCATACTACTAACAATTGTTATGTATTTAGAAATGTATTGTAGAAGTCTATCGATGAAGGTGTATTGAAATTCCCTAAAAAGAAGCCAGATGTAATGGGGGTCGATGGCGATCCATTTCCTAATATTGTCAGTACCAATGTAATCAGCCTGGCAACTGAAAAAGCCGCTGATAATGGTAGACAGGAAAGATTACCAAAAGTTCTTGGTAGTTCATCGGCCAGTAATGATGAGCAGAAAGTTAAGGAATTGGAAATTTAGTTAAGAGAAGCTCAAATTGCCCTCATCAACCATGGTTGTTGTCCAAATTGCAAAGGCCAAAGGAATGACTTAGACAAGAGGGGCTATTTCCAATCAACCAGAAAGCGTAGTGTCCATGAAAGGTTAGGCCATCAGCCTAGACAGAATCACGAAGAAATCAATCGATCAATATTTAGAGAAAATGGGCCGAGGGCAGTGAGAATCATTCAGTCATCGGTGGCCGATAGAGTCCTGCCAGAACAACATTTTTATCCTAGTTTCAAAAGGAAACCAACAATTCAGTCAGAAATATGGGTTCAAAAAGGAGAAGAATCTAGCCATGTAAGAACGGTTAGACCTCCTTTGGTTGACCATGGCAGATGGACTCAAGTAAGTCACCCAAAGTTTCCTAAGCAGCCTCCTACACGTACTCAAAAAAGGAGGATGCAAAGAAAAAATGCAGAACTCAAAAGGAAAGAAGACAAGATCGACCATGATCAACTAAAAAGGAAAAATGAACCAGTGGTGGCTGAAGACATGGAGGTCGCTACATCCTTTGAGAATAAGGCATGCTTTTATGAAGAAAAAGATGATCAGCCCGACCAGGATCCAAAGCATGCGGCCAAGTACAGAATTCGTTTTGGTTCTCTCCCGAATAAGGTAAATTGTAACATGGTATTTGTTTTGCCTTCTGTGTTTGAAGCAAGGATAGAACCAACGATGAACAGGGATGTTGAGTCAGCCAAGCAGGAGGAAAAGGCTGAATCTTCAGAAATTAAGAACGATTCGACAAGTTCATCGGCCGGGATAGGATTGATCTCTCAGGATCAGCCATCTAAGGCCGATAAAATCATTTTCGAAAAACCACCTTTGTCCATGACACAGCAGTTGAGGCCGTTGTATGTTAAAGTATGGGTTGAGGGTCAGCCAATCAATAGGGTTTTGGTTGACAATGGTTCGGTGGTGAATGTCATTCCAGCAACTACTTTGAAGAAATTGGGTAAAACCATGGACGATGTAGTTCCAACCGACGTGGCCATCAGTGGTTTTAATGGAGGATCTAGTAACACCAAAGGTATTCTACCTTTGGAAATTACTATTGGAGGGAAGACATCCTTTACGGCTTTCTTTATCATTGATTCAACCACGGCCTATAATCTCCTTTTAGACCGAGATTGGATTCATCCTAACATGTGCATCCCATCAACCTTGCATCAAATGTTGATTTTTTGGGATGGAAATGAGGTAAAAATTGTTGAGGCCGATAACAAACCCTTTATAGCTAGGGTGTATTCGGCTGAGGCTGCACTTTATGATGAAACTGTTGTACTTATCAAATTTGTTGGCATTAACAGGATGGGACGACCAGCAGCGGCAACAATGAAGAAGAATTTAATTAACGCTGATATTAAAGAATTATTGTCAGAAGCAGCTCGGCCGAAAATTGATATTTTCAGGTCGACCATCAAGGACATTGAAGATGTTACTGATGGATTACAAAACCAATGAAGAAAAGAAGCGGCAAGCTTTCAGGGCCACTTGCATAAGACTGAAAGCATATCTGGCTGAGAAGAGACTGGCCAGAGAAGAACAGCTATATGAAGAGGTATCGGCCAGCACGGCCGATATAATTGAAGAAGGTTTCGAAAAGCTGGATGCAATCCAACTTGAAGATTTGGAGTCAGCCCCTTCCAGGATGGAAGATAATAAAGCAGAGGTGCAAGATCCTTTATTGGAAATAAATGTTGGTACTAAAAAAGATAATCGGCCATTATTTGTTAGTGCTTTGCTTGAGCCTAAATTTCAGGCCGATTTGATTAAATTATTAAATGAATATAAGGATTGCTTTGCTTGGAGTTATGAAGAGATGCCTGGCCTGTCTAGAAAATTGGTAGAACATAGATTACCGATCAAGAAAGATTTTCAGCCATATAAACAACCACCAAGAAGGATGTCTTCGGAAGTAATGCTCAAAATTAAAGAAGAAATTGAGAGACTTCTTAAGGCAGGATTTATTCGAACAGTTAGGTATGTTGAATGGCTGTCTAATGTTGTTCCGGTAATGAAGAAGAATGGTAAACTTAGAGTTTGTGTGGATTTTCGCAATTTAAATAATGCCACTCCAAAAGATGAATATCCAATGCTTGTGGCCGATCAACTTATTGATTCGGCCGCTAAGCATGAAATATTGTCTTTTATGGACGGCCATTCAGGTTATAATCAAATCTATTTAGCCGAGGAAGATATTCATAAAACGGCTTTTAGATGTCCTGGGTCAATTGGTACTTTTGAGTGGATTGTGATGCCATTTGGCCTAAAAAATGCTGGGGCTACTTATCAAAGGGCAATGAATTCTATCTTTCATGATATGATTGGCCGATTCATGAAAATTTATATAGATGATGTAGTTGTGAAATCATCGGCCAAGAGACAGCATTTGGAACACTTGAAAAGGGCCTTTGAAAAGATGAGGGTTCACAAATTGAAAATGAACCCATTGAAGTGTGCATTTGGAGTTTCAGCCGGGAATTTCTTGGGGTTCTTGGTACACAAACGAGGTATTGAAGTTGATCAGAACAAGGTCAAAGCTATTATAAATGCTAGGGCCCCAGCCAACAAAAAACAAGTGCAAAGGTTCCTCGGCCAGGTAGGTTTTCTTAGAAGATTCATTTCTAACCATGCTGGCCGAGTGCATGTCTTTTCGACTTTAGTAAAATTAAAGTCACATGAGAAATTTCATTGGGACGAATCCCATCAGAAGGCCTTTGACAAAATAAAAGAGTATTTGGCAAACCCCCCGGTTGTAATGCCTCCAAGAAAGAAGTGGCCGTTAAAGCTTTATTTATCGGCCGCAGAAGAATCAATTGGTAGTATGCTCGCACAAGACAATGAACATGGAAAGGAGCAGGCTGTCTACTACCTGAGTAAAGTACTAACTGATGTAGAATGCAGATATTCCTCAATTGAGAAGCTTTGTTTATCTTTGTACTATTCAGCCAAGAAGCTGAGAGTATACATGCGGCCTGTTGATGTTTACATTCTTTGTCAGACTAACGTGATCAAGTATATGCTATCAAGGCCATTGATCACTGGCCGAATAAGTAAGTGGGCTTTGGCTTTGATGGAATTCAATTTTATCTACGTCCCACAAAAATCAGTAAAAGGAAGGGTTCTGGCTGATTTTTTGGCCGATCATCCTTCAACTGATATTGATCCATGGGTTTATAATGAATTGGAGTCATCAGCTATATTCTTAACTCCTTGGATCTTGATGTTTGATGGATCAAGCACGGTTGATAGAGCAGGAGCAGGTATTGTTATTATTTTGCCAGCTGGCAGAAAGGCTTCATTCTCTTTCTTTTTAGATTTTAAATGTTCAAATAATCAGGCCGAATATGAAGCGCTTATAATCGGCCTGGAGATTTTAATTGAAATGGCTGTTAGAGATGTAAAGATTTTGGGAGATTCAAACTTAGTCCTTAGCCAAATTTCTGAAGATTTTAAGTGCCTAAGTTGGCAATTAAGGCCGTTTCATTCTCTGGCCACTTCATTAATTAATCAATTTGATAATGTTCAACTTAAGTTCTGGCCGAGAGGGCAGAATAAGGAGGCCAACAGCATGGCCCAAGCAGCCTCAGGAATAAGAGTACCAGCCGGAATAGAAGATCAGTTGATAAAGATAACACGAAGATCTTTGCCATCGGCCGAATTGAGAAATACTATGTTATTTGATACTTGGACAATTGATGTAGAAGATTTGGCCGACGATGATTGGAGGTTACCATTTATAATGTTTCTTCGAAATCCAAACATCAAGGCTGATAGAAGTATTAAAAGAAAAGCGATCAACTTTGTGCTTCTAGATGGGGATCTATACAGAAAATGGTTAGAAGATGGGCTCCTACTACAATACATAAGCAAGGAGGAATCACTTCAGGTTATGGCCGAGGTACATGAGGGCAGCTGTGGGGCTCACCAAGCTGGGATTAAAATGAGATGGTTGATTCGCAGGTATGGATATTATTGGCCGAGAATGAGGAAAGATTGCATAGATTACTCAAAAGGTTGTCAAGCTTGTCAAAGACACGGGCCGATTCAAAATGTACCAGCAAAAGAATTACAGCCAATAATCAAACTTTGGCCATTCAGAGGTTGGGGCCTTGACCTTATTGGTAAAATTAATCCACCATCAAGCGAAGGCCATCATTGGGTGATTGTTGCCACAGATTATTTTACTAAATGGGTTGAGGCCAAGGCTTGCAAAGCGGTTGATCAGCAAACAGTGATTAATTTCATGGAACAAAATATCATCCACAGATTTGGGATTCCAGAAACACTTGTTTCAGACAATGCAATAGTATTTAGGGCAACTGATGTACTACAATTCGGCCACAACATGAATATTCATATGTCAGCCTCTACGCCATACTATGCTCAAGCAAATGGCCAGGCCGAATCTTCAAACAAAATTTTAATAGAGATCATTGAAAAAATGATCAAAGATAAGCCAAGAAGGTGGCATGAGACTTTGTCTGAAGCTTTATGGGCCTATAGGAACTCAAAAAGAACAGGCACAGGAGTTACACCATACATGTTAACTTATGGTCATGATGCTGTTCTGCCTATGGAGATGAAGGTTAAATCAGCCAGAGTTGCTTTTCAAAATAATCTAACTCCAGCTGATTATACTCAAGCAATGTTGGTAGAATTGGAAGATTTGGATGAAGTTAGAAGGGATGCCTTGGATCATATCATAGCTCACAAGAAGAAGGTGATGAGGATCTACAACAAGAGGGTAAAACCTAAGTCTTTTGATGAAGAAGATTTGGTTTGGAAACTTGTTTTGCCAGTGGGTAAAGTCGATAGGAAATATGGGAAGTGGTCCCAAAAATGGGAAGGGCCATACTTAGTCCATCAAGTCTTAAGTGGAGGAGCATATAGGCTGAAGTATTTCAGTGGCCGATTACACGACTATCCCATTAATGGCAAGTACCTCAAGAGGTACGTACCGGCAATCTTTGAAAGGGAAAATTAGTGTTAGCCAGTACTAATGGCTGACCATGTGTACCTTTATGTAATAAAAATCGGCCTATTTTTCTAGGCTGATTTGGCTATTTTAATAAATTTTTTCTTGCTAAAATGTTGATACTTGTTTGGAGTAACAAAAGAGGCCATTTATTCATTGAAGTGTAAAAGATTACATCATTTAAAGATCATACACTAAGATGGCCACAAAAGGAAGCTAATATAAAAAAAATTCATATGCTTGCAAATTTTTCCTTGAAATCGGCCCAAATAACTAAGGACCGATTGAAGGCCACCATGGCCTGCCTCTTTGACTCTTCCAATTGAGGTAATTCTCCACGAAGATTTGCATGCTCGTGAGCAAGGTCTTGAGCTTCAAACTGCAATGTGGCAGCTTCAGCAGACAAGATGGCCTTACGAGCATGGATCTGGTCGATCTCTTTCTGAAGGACATGCTCTCTTTCCTCAAGGCCGATGAACTCTGTATTCACTCTTTCAAAGGAGGAAGCTTGAATTAACAATTGGTTAGCAAGGGTATCCTTCCTGTTTTTACTCTTGTTGAATTGGTTGATTGCTTCATTGGCTTGGAAAATATCATCGGTCAGAGTTGGTAGTTGGCCTTTAAAGGTAGCAATAGTGGCTTGAAGATCAACCGGAAAGTCTGGGTACTGGCTGAGTGTAGAAAGCACTGCTGTGAGCTCACTTTCAAAATTAGGAAGATCAGCAGCATCTCTTTTCAAAATCTCAAGTAAAGATTTTTTGGTCTCTTCTAAGGATTGTATAGGGATATTGGCTGAAGTGACTGGGGTGGCTCCAGAAGATTCACTTTCTTTCTCTTCGGTCACTGAAGCCACCACATCCTTAAAGAAATTGCTCAAGGCCAGTAGAGATGAAGCAAGAGCTTTTTGTGGAGGAAATAAAGGAACAATTTGAGTTTTCTCATACACCACCTGACAAAATGAGGAAAGATTAGATCTTAATTTTTTTTTTTTTGGGATATGAGATAGTCAATACCTTAGATGATTCGGCTATGTCTGTCACTAAGAGTGGCTGATGACTAGTTTCTGGAGGAGGAAATTCTGACTGAACCACTGTGCTATCTCCCTGGGATGAAGTTTTAGCAGGAGTGACTTGAACATTGAAGGGCACCTCAATGGGATCATAAAAATCCTTCCGAGGGCTGAAATTTCTAACTGGGCTATAGACCAAGTCAAGAAGAGGAGATTGCTGCAAAAGAGAAGAAATTAAGGACCATATTAATTGAAAAGTTTGGAAATTTCAAGTACAGTTATCTTTACCTCTTTTTCATCTGAGGAATGATCAGAAGGAGTGTCAGCCACATTAATTATGGGATCATCGGCCATGTCTTCTGTAGGATGAGGGTTTTCTAGATTTTCTTCCACTTCATGTTTCTTACGTTTGCTAAATCTTGTTTTTTTCAAAGTACCATGAGCAGTTGATTTCTTTCTTTTTCCCTGGAGATGGAAACTTTATTAAAGTTTGTCTCGGCTAATAATAGTTGTGGCCGAGAATTGGAAATCAATATTGGCTAAATATTTTAACAATTGGGCCGATATGATTATCTTTGTATGTTAATAGATAAAAACTTTTACCTTTGGAGGAATTGGAGGAACATCAGGGATGATGGTTGATTCAGTTATTGAAGGCTGAGGAGGTTGGCTGGAGGAAATTTCATCATCTTGGGGCTCAACGTTTTCTGGATTAGGCGAGGCTGATAAAGTTCCACTGTCTGAATCTGCGGAAAAAAAGGGGGGGGGGGGGGGAGGGGTTGGAATTGGAATCCGGCTTGCAGATTTGAGAACCGGGAGGACACGTTCTTTACATAGGAGTCATCTGGAAATACCACACGCCTATGGAAGTTTTTGTTGAAAGAGAAATAAGGGGGCATGGGGATCATTTGAGTCAGACCAAATTGCCTAGCAAGTTGGTTTGGATTGTAGAACTCAACTCCAACTTTTGAGTTTACTGTGCCTAGAGGGCCAATGTTGAAGTGAAGGTCTCTTGAAAGTAAGAAACTAGCCCACATGGCCGAATGCTTATCAGCTGATTTTTTGGTAGACACTCCTTGAGGAGGAGTCAGCCATCGAGGTGCTTGTGAGCAATGAGAAAATGGAAGGAATTGGCTGATAGTCCTCTGTTCACAACCGGAGTAAAAGAAATTGAAGCAATCTCCAAACGAATGGGATTTAGGTACGGCCGATGCGTAACTTACAGAAAGTAATGGATCATTGGCCGAAGGCCTCACCACAAGTCCGAGCTCAGGAAAGTACACTTGAAGCCAAATTTGAAATAACCAGAGGGGACCACCATAGCTTCCGAAGTTGGAGGTAAGCAAGTCATAAATCCCTCTATATAAATGAGAAAGCACCAAGGGGGCAAGAGCAAGGTGTTTACCTCTTGAAAGGGCAACGGCCACATGAATGAAATCCTTTGTGACTTGAAAGGCCGGTACGCATAAAAGAAACTTGTTCAGCCAGGCCAACAAGAAGGCAATATGTTCAGCATCATTCACAGGGACGCGAGGATCCATGGTGGAAGTTAAGTATTTGCCATAAGAGGATTCAGATGACTTGGTTCCAGTTTGCTTTGAAGGGAAGATGAAAGGAGAATCCTCTTCTACCAATAAGGTATTTACATCAATCCCAAAGGGTTTGAGGCCGGTTAGATAGCACACGTCTTGAATGGTTGGAGCCATCATGCCACACTTCAAGTGTAAGGAGTTGGTGGTGGTCGACCAATTAAACATGGCTGCTATCATCAAGGCTCTGTCTTGGGCGATGTTAGTTTTACTTAGCTGAATGGCATCATATATGCCACAATCCTTCCATATTTCTCCCTTCACAGCTCCAACCCGGTCGACCCAATTGATCCAAGTATCATTTGGGCTATGCCATGTTCTAAAATGAAAGTGTGGCAAACTGCCATTTTCATTAGGAGGGAAGGTTTGAAGGAATGGAAGAACGTCGGCCGAAGGATAGAAAGGTGAGATTGATGAAGGAGCTTCGTCAAAGAAAGTAGGACATAAGCCTTTGAAGTCAGTACGAAGATCGATAAGGGTATTGAGACAGTATTTGTAAGGAGATAGAGTTTTTAGGGATTTTTCTATGATGTTGCCATGAGTTGAAGGATCGGAAGGTTGAGGGATAGAGGTGGAATCAGTTGATTTAGTTTTCTTAGGAGCCATAGAGGACGTCAGGAACGATTTTGCCGAGAAAGAATTTCAGAGATAGAAAGTTTAAAGGAAGAAGAATGATTTTAGGGATTAGAGGGCATCAAGCTAAATACTTGCTGGATGTAATAGCGGATTAGTGTAGTCACCGCTTTAATTGGGAAAGATAACCATTAAAGCAGGTGGTTGAAAAAAGGATTTATTACCAAAATTTGAATTACAATTTTAGGCCGATTCAAATTCCAAACGCTTCGTATCATAAGTGATAAAAGCATTTGAAATTCAGGGGGCATTTGTTGGCACCAAAACTTGGCAGCCACTTCAGCAGCGACGTGGACCAATGGGAAGCCAGTAAGTGTTAAGCATGTCCAAGAATGGTCGGCCAATGGAGAAATAGTAGGAGAAGATTTAGGAGGATATCTATATATTCAGCCACCTCACCAAAAGGGTTGTTACTAAACAACCAAGACTTGTGTTAATTTCAAAAGGAAATTTCATTAGAAATAGAACATTGGGAGAGGTTGGCTAAGGTGACATAATTAAGTTCCTAAAAAATAGGGATTTAGTTATGAGAAAGGAAATTGAATCCTTATGGAAATGAAATTCAAAAAGAAGGGGTAGCCACATGAGTGTATGGGTCAAGGCTATAAATGGTTTTCCAGCCATTTAAGGGAAATATTTCAGTCAAGCTTGAAGAAAGAAGTTGCTAAAAATCAGCAACTTACTAGCAATCTTCCAGTAGCTTTCTACCGACTTCTTAGTAATCAATATTTTCTTCAACAAAGGTATTCTATTTGAAGCAAGACGAAACAAGAGGAGAAGAGACGTGAAAGACTACTGGAATACGACCTATTTTCAGCAACAAAGTAAAGCAAATCAAGGAAAAGAGAGATTTCAGTAAAGACTTTCCCATTGAAACTGGAGCATCGATATTGAAGGCGAGGAATGTTGGGCCGTAGCTCAGTTTGAATTTCAAAAGAAAATGATTGAAGCAAAAGAGATTTTCTAGCAATTAATTAGGAAAATAAGTTGAGATAGAACTTCTATAAATAGAAGTATTGTACTCCATTTCTAATTCGTCCAGTACCACCACAAAACATGCATTTCAACTAAAAATGTTTTCAATTGACTCTACGTCATTTTTCCTATCAATTTCTTTATTTCAATTTAATGGCAATTGATTAGATCATTGTCAACTATTTCGATTCAGGCATTTACTTTCTTTCAATTTCAATTATGCCAATTTTAATTACGCAATTTTAGTTAGGCTTTCAATTCAATGGCAATTGATTAAATTATTGCCATTGAATCGTAGTGACAATTGATTAACTTCTTGTCATTACTTGGCTGATGGCAATTAATTAAATTCTTGCTATCACGTTTCAGTGGCGATCGATTAAATTCTTGCCATTGTGTTTGGCTGATGGCGATTGATTAAGTTCTCGCCATCACGTTCGACCGGCGAACGATTAAGTTCTTGCCGCCTGTCTTCACTCGGCCATTCCATCCATTCAAACATTCATCAGCCGTTACATTTCTTTAGACACTCTAAAAAGTTCTTGCTACAAACAAGGCATAAAAGAACCTTGCTGGGAGTTCTTACTAGTCTCTCTCCCACACAATCGCCTGAGAGTCAGCCATCCGAAAAAGGGATAGGCTGGTGTTCAATTACATATTTTGGGTATTTTGTACAAATACTCTGGCACGCCCGCGAAGAGTCCATCGACCGGCGTAGGGAACAAAAACCGCGCGAACAATAGCACATCTGGGAGGAACTAGGTGCCTGTGGTAGCCATAAAATAGCTCATGCTCTAAAAGAA